TTTTGATCACCCTCACTTTTTCTTCCAACAGGTGTACATGTTCATGTCAATTCTGTAGTCCAAGTAGGTCACTTGGAGTGCCTGGATGCACATTTTTCCTTCTAACGCCTGGGAGAAATGTCTTATGACTATGTCCAAGTTCTCAAAGTGCTCCTTATTGATCTTCAGTGTTATCAGGATAAATAGCGATCTGGAGTAGACCTTGTAATATGTTCTCCATCGTCCACTGAAAAGTTGCACAGGCTGACGATACCCTGAATGGCAGAGTCTCATATATCGGTATTAATTGTAGCATACTTCTGGGAATCCTCATCTCATCACAATTGCAAGTATGTGTGGCTCATGATGAACAGTCCTCCTTGCCAGCTTTGCGTATAAATCCTTGATGCAAGGGATTGGGTATTTATCCAGCTGTGAAGAGCGGTTTACCGTTGTTTAAGATCCCCACAAAGGCAAACCGTCCCGTTGAGCTTCACAATTGTTATGATCAGTGCTGCCCGTTTTGCAAACTGGACTGATTTCTGTCTCTACTTTGCCCGTAAGGCAAATGGCACTGCGTAGGCCTTGCAGAATTGTGGAATTGCCCCCTGGTCAACGTGCAAGGTAACCTTGAATCCTTTGATAGGCCCTAGACCTCCCTGAAAATCTTCTGAATATTTAATTAGGACTTCACTCAGGCAGCCGTTTTCTAATTGAAAAATATTGAGCTAGTCTTGGTGAATCTTTCTCAACTAATTTTGCCCCATCAACTTTGGGCCTGAACCTTTTACTACAATTGGTGGTAACTGAACCAGCTGCTTCTTAAAAGAGACCAGAACTGAAGTTGTACCTTTAATCTGTAAAGGTTCCCCTGTTTAGGTTCTCAGTCTAGCTGAGGTCTTGCGTAAACTTAAGGATCCTGGCAAGGATGTCCACTTCCATTGGAATACCCTGCAACTCATTTGCTCCACTTGCCACATTTTCCAATGATAAAGCCAGTGGCAGCGCCTGTTTGAAGTCCAGTTGCACTTCAGCTAGTAGGTGCTCTTGCATGATTTCATCATTAATCCCACATACCAAACAAACAATCTCTCAGTATCTCCTTAAGGGTTAAACTAATGTCACATTCCTCTGCCAGTCATCTTAACATAGTCAAAAATCCCAATACAGATTCCCCTATTTCTCGAATTGCCGAGTAAAATTGACTGCACCTCAGAATTAGAGGAGGCTTGGTGTCATCATATTCCTTAACTAAACCCATCAACTCTTGAAAGGTTTTAGTATCTGGTACTAGAGGGAAATTAAGGCTCCTAATGACCGAAGAAGCCGTGGGTCCATATGCTGTCAGGAGAATTACTTGTTGGTTTTCAACGACCCAAAGTCATTTGCCCAGACAAAATAACACATTCTTTCCACATCCTGGGCCCAATCTTCAATGGCAGGATCGAAAGAGTCAAGCTTCCCAAGTAACAGCATGATGCCAGAAATGCTTACCCCAACTCAAAGATGTCTGTTGCGAGTGAATTTCTTCAGGAGCATATTTTTTTTCTCATGTCACCACTGAAATAATTCTCCTGTGATTGGTATCCCATCACCAAGTCACCTTTTATTTATACATGGAGAGTCCTCGACATTGATCCAGCTCTCACAGTGAGCAGGATGTCTGACACTCCTGTTTATATCCTGGAACCTTACCTAAAAGGGTACTTTACCTCTCCAAAAGAGATACCTTTCAGAAGAACAATGGCAGCTTAGGAGTTTCCCCACTATGTCTAAAATACACAGGTCATGTTTTCGACATCCCATTCACTAAATCACAGAAGTCACAAGACACCAGGTTATAGTTCAACAGGCTTATTTGAAATCACAAGCTTAAGAAGCACTGCTCCCTCATCAGGTGAAGTGATGAAGTAGCAGTGCTCCGAAAGTTTGTGATTTCAAATGAACCGATTGAATTATAACCTGGTGTCGTGTGACTTCTGACTTTGTCTACCCCAGTTCAAGACCAGCACCTCCACAGCGTAGTGAAAATCAAATTAGCCTGAAGCAGCTGTCCTTTAACATATGCAGTTACTATTTAGATAGGGAGATCAAATGTTAAATCTCCAAGGTTGCTGAATGACACGAAACTGGGTGAGTTGTGAAGAGGACATATTGAGGTTTCAAATCAGTTCAGACGTGTTGAGTGTATAATGTGAATAAGTGTGAAGCTACCCATGTTTGGTTGGAAAAAGAAAATGGTTTTAAATGGTGATAGATTGAGAAATGTTGATGTACAAAGGGGCCTTGGTATCCTTGTATGTCAGTCACTGAAAGTGAGCAGGTGCAGCAAACAGTAAGGAAGGCAAATAGTTTCTTAGCTTTCATTGGAAGGGAATTCAAGTACAGGAGCAAGGATGTCTTGCTGCAGCTGTCCAGGGGACTGTGGTGAGTATTATGTGCAGCTTTGGTCTCTTTATCCAAGAAAAGATAAGCTTGCAACGAAGGGAGTGCAGCGAGGGTTCACCAGGCTGTTCCTGGAGCAGCAGAGTTGTTGTATGAGGAGAGATTTAGTTGACTAGGCCTATGTTCACTGGAGTTTAGAACAATGAGATGGATCATTTAAACATATAAAATTCTGACACAGATGAGTAGATTGGATGTAGAAATGATGTTTCCCCTGTCTAGGGCCCTAGAACGAAGAGTCACAGTATCCAGCATTTAGGATGGAGATGAGGAGAAATTTCTACACTGAGGCTTGTGATGTTGTGAAATTCTCTCCAACATTAGGTTGTGGTGGCTACGTCACTGAATATATTTAAGAAGGAAATAGATTTCTAGACACTAAGGCATTAAGTAGCATTGAGGAAGAATATGAGTATGTCATTGAAATAGAGGGTGAGCCATGATCATATTGAATGGCTGATCAAACTTGATGGGCCAAATGACCTACTGCTACTATCTTGTATGTTGCCTCTATGAACCATGAAATGACAGGACTCCTGGATTCAGGCCTCTGAAGTCAGTTTGTAATATTGAAGAGGCTGTATGCCTTTATGAAATTTCATGTCTGTGGGATTCTTTTATAAAAATGCCATCACCCTGTCAAATGCAGTAAACTCACAAAAGTTTTGCATGTTTGCTTCTACTTGGTGCCCTCTTATAATTAGCAGACCTCAGAAGTATTGAGTTTGGAGTTTGCCTGTCAGTAAGTGAATTCACCTCAGAGTTACGTTTTGTAGTTGGGTCAATATAGAATCATCGTGATGCTATCTCTGCCATATATTTGACTGCAGTCCAGATTATATTCCTCCCAGTGGCAATAATCAGGAAGGAAACTTTAAATTGATGCAGGGGGCTAAACAACTAGTCTTTCAATTTTTGTTTTGGTATTTGCATCTATTCTAGATTAACAATGTGAAAATATTCCCTCCAATTAAGTATTTCAGAGACTGTGGCCATTCATTCCCACTCCAAACTCTATTCCTCAGCTAACAACTCTGTCTCTCTCCCTGGGAATAGCCTGAGATTAAGCCAGTGTGTAGACAACTTGCTTTCCTCTGCAAATTTGGCTAAAATACAGTCTGTCCCTTCATCTAAACTATTAGTAATGGTCATAAATAATTGAGGCCTCAGAACAGATCTGTGTGATATTCCACTTGTTACGTTATGCCAGCCCTTGGAAATGTAAAGGGATTTCATTATTCCAAGTCAGGCTGGCCCAGTGATTTCCTGGTGGCAATGGTGAAGAACAGATTTACAGCTGGTTTGAATTAAGGGGGTTTGCAAAAGATGGCAAACAGTACATTGCTCCTGAGATAGTAGGAACTGCAGATGCTGGAAAATCTGAGATAACAAGGTGTAGAGCTGGATGAACACAGCAGGCCAAGCAGCATCCTGCTGTGTTCATACAGCTCTACACCTTGTTATC